TTGCAACATTTGCCCTTCCAAGCTACTGGGATTCTTGGCAGCATGACCACCCTTATCATTTCTCCCTTTCCCCCCGAGAGATGCTCTTGACTCTGAACAGTAATTGCACAGTTGTTGGTAATATGATTAATACATGTAGTGCGCTGTTGTACATGCATTACCGTGGCACAGTTTCCCATATTCCCTCAATAGTGTGGTGTTCTCTATTCCCTTAGCAGATTAATACTTTAACACAAATTACTCAAGAGTTCCACTGGGACAGGTTTAGCTGAAGGATCTTGGGAGTTGAAATAGAATAAGAAAAGCAACTCCTCCTCTTTAAGAAGTGATCAGGTTTGTGTTTTGAACTACTTCGTTCAAACTGGCCTGTAGCCGGAGTATCAAAATGCCTGCTAAGTTATTCTTGAGACAAACAGAGGAAAGAACAGCACCTGGTGTACCTGGTCTGCCCTTGTGTTTGCTTCCCCCAAATGTCCTACAAGATTGTGAAGCTCTGAATAAGCAGGCCTGATTTCCAAAATAGAACAGACGCAATGAGAACTTTTTAGGATTCCTTAAAAATGTATTTTTCCAACTTTCTGCAAGCCTTCCAAGAAGCAAAAGAAATAGTGTGTGATTTTCCTGTTATTGTCAACATTCGACACATTGTCTGAAGTATACTGTTGATTTATTCTTTATTTCCTGAAATTGGAAAGCTTAACAGTGAAAGAAAGGGGGAAGAGAGAGTCCAAGAAACAAGAGGAGGGGTTGCCATCGAGGAAAGGAAATGGAATTTGGCACTCCATGGTCCAGTGCATAGAAGGGAGACCATCACGCATGAAAAAGCAGTGTTCACAGAGACACTGAAAAATAGGTAGCAGCTATAGGAATATTTCACCAAAATGTGTAGCTCCAATTTGCCAAATATTTTCTTCCTCTGCAGCAGTGGCTCCTTTTTTTTTTTTTCCCCAGCTCATGCTTGGACTGTTTGAAAATTTCTTTTAAAATCATACTTTGGATGTTTTGCACTTCCATCATTGTCTCCAAGAATCCTACATGATTATTTTTGGGTTGTGTTCTATATCTCTCCATCATTGTCCAGCAACCCTGGCTTCCCAAACTTTCTGATCCCAAAGAGATGTAGGGGGAGTGTCTTCCTGGTGGGACATTTCCGAGGAGTAGGAAGTCAGGGACATTGCTGGCTGCCAGAGAGAAAACTGCCCAGTGAAAAACCAAATTCTCAGTTCTCAGACATCTCAACGTGAAGATAAAATGTAAGAACACCCCTCCCTCTAACAATTTCTCCAAGATGTTCTGAAGAATAAGAATAAGAATAAGAATAAGAAGAAT